TGCCATCAAGTCAGTGCCGACTCACAGAGACCCTACGTACATCAGAACAAAACACTGCCTGGTCCTGCGTCATCCTCACAATTGTTGTTACGCTTGAGCCCATTGTTGTAGCCACTGTGTCAGTCCATCTCATAGAGGGTCTTCCTCTTTATTGCTGACCTTCTACTTTACCAAGCATGATGTCCTTCTCCAGGGACTGGTCCTTCTTGATAACACGTCCTACGTATGTGAGATGAAGTCTCCCCATCCTTGCTTCTAAGGAGCATTCTAGCTGTACTTCTTCCAAGACAGATTTGTTCGTTCTTTTGGCAGTCCACGGTATAGTCAATACTCTTTGCCCAACACCATAATTCTAAGGTGTCGATTCTTCTTCAGTCTTCCTTATTCATTACTCAGCTTTTGCATGCATATGAGGTAATTGAAAACACCTAGACTTGGGTCAGGAGCACCTTAGTCCTTAAAGTGACATCTTTGTTTTTTAACACTTTTAAGAGGTCTTTTGCAGCACATTTGCCCAATGCAATGCGTCTTTTGATTTCTTGACTGCTGCTTCCATGGGTGTTGATTGCGGATCCAAATAAAGTGAAATCCTTGACAACTTCAAACTTTTCTCCATTTATCATGATGTTGCTTATTGGTTCAGTTGCAAGGATTTTAGTTTTCTTTTTGTTGAGGTGCAATCCATACTGAAGGCTGTAGTCTTTGATCTCCATCAGTAAATGCTTCAAGTCCTCTTCACTTTCAGCAAGCAAGGTTATGTCATCTGCATATTGAAGGTTGTTAATGAATCTTCTTCCAATCCTGATGCCGCGTTCTTCTTCATGTAGTCCAGCTTCTAGGATTATTTGCTTGGCATACAGATTGAATAAGTGTGGTGAAAGGCTACAACCCTGATGCACACCTTTCCTGATTTTAAACCACACAGTATCCTCTTGTTCTGTCCGAATGGCTGCCTCTTTGTCCATGTACAGTGAAACCTGTGATTGCCAGAACTCGACAGACTGCCTTGTTTTCCAGGTCTTGCAAATTTTCCTCCTTTGACAGGGTGCAGTTTTACAATTTTCTATTGCTCTCTATTAGTAGAAAATACTTGAATTTTCCTTCTTTGACAGGTTTCTGATTTACAGTTTCTGGCTTTCACAGGTTTATATATATATGTGTGTGTTTGTATACACACACACACACACACGTTTCCCCCACTATCCAAAAGTAGAACATTCCTATGAAATTTCTCGTAAGCCTAAATGGCTAAAGTGAAGAAGCAACTGCCATTATGGGAAACAATTTTGAGTGTTCCCAGACTCAAAAATAACCTACCAAATCATACCAAATAACACATAAAACCTCAATCTAGTAAAAGCAGGAATGATATGATATGATGCTGAGATGCTGAGTGTAGTCCCAGGAAGGAGCTTGGTGACACTGCTTGCTGCTTGGTGTATGCGCTGACTCTTTAACAGCTTGCTGCAAAACAAATGCTGAAAGCTATGTCTGATTTTCGTCTTTTTTCCTGAAAGCAAAATCTTCTTCAAATTTCTTTCTGGTAGTGAAAACAGGTACTAATGTAGGTCTTCCATGAAAGTGAAGTGGCATAAAGGGAACCTCCGAAAAGGAGGGGATACCTATTTATATACATACATATGTGTGCGTATGTATATATATATGTATATGTATGTATGTATCTATCTATATACATAAGAATTGGTTGATGTTCAACTATTTCAGGAGGTAGCATACGATCAAGAACTGATGGCACTGAAGGAATTGGTCCAGGCTGCACTAAAGGTGCTAGTGAAAAACAAGGCTCCAGGAATTGATGGAATACCAACTGAGATGTTTCAGCAAACAGATGCAGCACCGGAAGTGCTCACTCATCTATGCCAAGAAATTTGGAAGACAGCTACCTGGCCAACTGACTGGAAGAGATCCATATTTGTACCATTCCAGAGAAAGGTGATTCAACACAATGTGGAAATTATCAACAATATCATTAATACCACACACAACTAAATTTTTGCTGAAGATGGTTCAAAAGTGGTTACAGCAGTACATCGACCAGGAACTGCCAGAGATTCAAGTCAGATTCACAAGAGGATCTGGAACAAGGGACATCATTGCTGATGTCAGATGGATCCTGGCTGAAAGCAGAGAATACCAGAAAGATATTTATCTGTGTTTTATTGACTATGCAAAGTCATTTGACTGTGTGGATCATAACAAATTATGGATAATATTGAGAAGAATGGTAATTCCAGAACACTTAATTGTGCTCATGAGGAATCTGTACTTTGACCAAGAGGCAGTCATTCAAACAGAGCAAAGGTATACTACAAGGCTTAAAGTCAAGAAAGATGTGCGTCAGGGTTGTATTCTTTCCCCATACTTACTCAATCTGTATGC